CACGGGTGTAGCTCTGTGGCACCGTGTGAGTTAGGACTGAGGGAGCTTTGACATGTATGTATGTATGTAGCTATATAGTGACATGGCTGTGGTGTATACACCATCTAAAAACATGGCTGGGATTGAGATTAGTGTGAGATCCTCCTGTGTGTGTAGTCTTCGTGTTGGAAAGGTGCCTAAAACGTGCAATGGTTTGCTTTCATGAGGAAGTTTAAATAAATACTGGACATGAACAGCATGATGTAATCTCCACTGAAGTTATACATCTAAAATAGCTGGGATACTGAAAAAGAAGGTGATGATAAATCTTGAGTAAATATTTTTTAATCTTTTCATTTTTGCATAATTACTTGATTAATGGTGTCTTTACCCTCCCTGCTGTTAGAAATAATTTACATATACTTGATCTAAAAATGCCTTCAAAGTGCTTTGTGAATAACTCAAGCTGAGGTCCTATTCTTTCCCTATTCCATCACCATTTCCATGTTTATTTTAATTAACATTTGTTTAAATGCAATCCAATCCAGTGCCACAAATACAAAAAGTGTTTGTGGCATTTTATTAAATATACTGAATATACTGACTGCATATTTAATATGTTTATTATATTCTCCATTACAGTAATCTATTATTATGTCTATTATTATATTTTTATTATATTATTGTCTCTGTGTTCTTTCCTAAAGGTAAATGCCCCAAGTGATGATGAGAACAAGCTTACGGTAAGTTTATTTGTACTGTTTTATATGCATAACATAGTATATCGCTTGTATATTTCACTGTATATTTCAAATCTTTCAAAAATGTTTATTTAAAAATGTGTTTCTTGTGCTTTCATTTAATTTTTAAATAGTAGCTTAACGTCTTATTATCTTTTTTTCCCCCTTTGGAACATTGCAAATTTAATTTTATTTATTTAAAGAATTGAAGCTGTGACCGGCTCCACCTGACAATAGTTTAAGACTATAATAAGCCCATGAGTGGACACAGAGAGAAATAATGATGCGTAAAATAAGTGTGCATTTACATTTGAATCCATAAAAACTTGGTATTTGTGCTTTTATGTTTTACAGGCGAAACCCAGGCTGCAGAGGGAAGGCAGCTGTGCTTCTCTACACAACTCGCTGATGAGAAACAGCATCTTCCAGCTCATGATACACACACTGGATCCCCTCAGTAATGAGGGTATGAGTGAGCATGCACAGATAAAAATCACGTACACTCTCACAAACATTATAATCCTCTCAAGTTAGAAATGTTTCAAATAAACACAGAATGTGACACATACAATGTGCTGACATAAAGATTACATTCCTTCACCACAACAAATTCAAATGTGACTTTTCTTGAGATTAAATAAAAGTTAATAACTTCAGGTTTCCAAGAAACAGATTAAGCCTAGCCCAAGATCAAAAGGATCCTATGAAAGGTTTATATCTAGGATTAGGCTTAAGAGCATAGACAGTTAAGAGAGTTGCAGAATGGCTGCAATCACAGTATTGCAATAAAGATGCTCCCTTAGGCCTTCTCCTTGATTCAGAGATGGTCCTTCCCTTGGCCTCCTTGACTCCTCGCTCAAACCAGCGTTCCTCCCTGTCCAGGATGTGTATGTCCTCCTTACTGAAAGAGTGTCCACTGGCCTGTATGTGTAAATAGACTGAGGAGTCCTGACCTGACGAGGTGGCTCTTCTGTGTTGTGCCATCGGCTGAAACAGAGGTTGTTTGGTTTCCCCGATGTATAAATCATGGGAATCTTCCTGGCATTATACTATAGTACTACCAGGGGACCAGATCCTTGGGGAACACCAATTTTTGGTGCAGCCTGTTTTGGGGTTTAAAAACAACAGAGGTGCTGTGTTTAGAAAAATGTGTCTCAGCTGTTCCAATACTAACCCTAGCCCTTTTTTTCACTTCTTCCATGTACAAGTTGGCCACAGTGGGTGTAAAAGGGGAACCAACGGCATGCCCATAAATCTGCCTGTAGTAATGACCCTTGTATGTGAAATATGCGTAATGAAGACAGAGTTCCAAGAACAAACACACTGTTTGTGCTGAGAGTGGTCCTGATGCTGAGGTTAGGGCCATCCTGAAATCTCTTACGAACTACAAACAACACAAGTTAAGAGAGATGTAACATCATACGAGACCATTGTTTCATCTGCCTCCATGATGACACCATAGCCACTGATCAATGGTCATGACAATTTACATTGTTCATTCAGTGGGCTGGTTTCAGTCATTGTGCAAATGTACTGTTTATAGGGTTGGGGAAACCTACAGCCAGCTGAGACTAAAGGAGTCACTTGGATGAGTGACGAAACGTCTCCCCCACTGAAAACGCTACGTCCAAATGAACTGAATCAACTTTTTGGGATTTCAATAACTGGATGATTGAGCTTGCATTAAGACATGTTGCATTAAGGACTGTTTCTTTTGTTTTAGGACAATTTAAAGAGAAGGCTTCAATCCTTCACAAAATGGCCAAGAAGAAGTGTAAAGAAGATGGTGCCACTGCCAACGGAGTAGGTGTGTACCAGTGAATACTGAAACGCCAATGTACTTTTGGTCAACCCCCATCGATAAAGTGACAAATCAGTTGTGCAATTATTTATCAGTTTATGGATGAATGATTGAAACAGCACACAAATTTATCAGTATGTTAATTTAAAAAATAGTGGAATAGATCATGGGCAGGCTACACAAGAAAGAATTGTTCAGGCAATAAAGCTTTGAAAAAGAAAACTAAATGCTACTTTTTCATTTCACGAGAAGACTAAATCTTTTTTTTAATGTTTTCCCTCATTAATGTAAGTAACGTGACTGTCCCTTACTTCACTGATGTTAAAGAAACAGTTAAAATGATAAAAGTTTTATATTTTTATAGACAGTGATTGCATTAATACATTTATGTGTCAGGCTGTAATTTAGAGGGTTTTTTTTCTGGTTGTGGATTAATCTCTGATTTATTTCATTCAATACATTTTAGTTGAACAGCTGATCTGTTATCATCCAAGAATTTTTACACAAAGATGCACAAACTGCTTTATACTTGTAAAAAAAAGTAAACAAAGAGATTATCTTTTCTTTTTCTCAGTAGAGGAGATTAAATATGATCTTTGATTATTTTATTGGACTACATTTCTAATTATAGTTAATAATAATAATAATAATTATAATTAATATTGATAAATTATTGCCATGATATTATTGCTCTTTTTTATTGCCAGTATTGTCCCTCTATATTTCTTGTTTCTTTCTTTTTATTTTTTTTGTTTCAACACACCTTTTATTGCTTGTTTTAAGCACAGTTTTAAACTGTGCTATATAAATAAAACGCACTTACTTTTTTTTAACTTACTTTCTACCTCCAGCTGATAAAAAGATCACAAACAGTACAAATGTTGCAGTGGAAGTTACACCACCAATGAATGGTGCTGCAGGAGGAGATGAGGTATGGAAGCATCACTCCTTTTCAAAAGCAAAATGTTTGACCTATAAACAATCAGGAAATTTTACTTAGTTATGTTTACCGAAAGAAATATGTCCAAATATATTTATGTACAATATTTAGGCACAATATTACAATGTAAGGTCATGAACTAATCCTCAGGATGGTGAGGAAGATGAAGATGAAGACAAGCCTTTGAGCCTGGCATGGCCTGACACTCCCAGGAAACAAATCACCTACGTCTTGATCCTGCCAATCATCCTCCCTCTCTGGCTCACGCTACCTGATGTCAGGAGAGAGGTAGATATACACACAACCAAATATAAAAATATAAACTGAAAACTAAATATTTGAAAATAGAGTAGAGCTCCACAGCTCTACTGAATATTACACACAGCTTTAGTTTAGGGGTATAGGGCTGTGCTTTGAATGCTCTCTACTGCTTGATTTTACATGTTAAGTTAGACGAAAAAGAAGTGATAGACTAAGAAGCTACATTGCTTTATTTTATGTTTTTTAGACCTCAGAAAGGTTCTTCCCGGTCACTTTCCTCGGCTCCATCTTTTGGATTGCGTTCTTTTCCTACCTGATGGTGTGGTGGGCTCATCAGGTATTTCCCACACAACGCACTCACAAACAAATGTTAGAGTATGATTGTTTGCAGCATACAACAACCCTGTTGTCTATACACACTATATCTGAGGCCTTTCTCGTCAGAGTGCAGCTGTCAGGGTGTTAAATGTGTGACCGTGGGAACTAATCCTGGCTAATCTGTCTTGAGCCACAGTCAGATCAACCTGTAGCACTCTATTTTAAGAGCACAAGTGCAGCGACAGGACAAAAGCACAAGGTTACTGACAAGGTGCACCTGCTAATTTAGCTTCTACAGGTGCAGCACGCCATGTGAAAAAGCATTGCCAAAAGTGCGATAAGAATTACTCATTATGCTCTCATCTTGTCCCATGTATTCAAACTGTGAGTGGCAATGAGTAAATGAGTACATTTTCAGATATTGAAAGCCTCATGTCATTTTTAGTTTTTAAAGCAGCATCCATGGACTGATTCCTTTTATCTTCTAAAATACATGAAATATAATTGTTCTCTTAGGTTTGTTTTAATGAAATTATTATAATAATTTTTTTGAGATAGGATTAGATTATATTTAGATATTATTATTTGTTTGTATAGCAGATTTAACTCAATGCATGCAGATGAATGTGCATTATCCAGAAATATTTATTAATGAAAAAAAAAAAAGAGGTTGGATGTTCTACCTGTGTCTGTGTGAGTGTTCTCCAGGTTTTTCCCAGAGTCCAAGACATGTATGTTAGGCTAGTTAGTTATTCTGTCTTGGGCGTAGTTGTGAATGTGAGTGCGACTGATGCTGTCTTTTATGTTAGCTCTGGAACAGACTGGTGGTCCAGGGCCACATATCTTGCCCTGTGACAACTGGGATAGGCTCCAGCACCAGTCCAACCCTGTACTGGATAACCAGAAACTAATGGATGGATGAAAGTCAACCCATAAAAAATAAACTGATTAATACAAAGAAATAAGACAATACATCACTCTTTCAGCCAGGGACTCTTTTCTTTATAGACTTCATGTCTCTATGTATTCAATTTAGAAGTGTTATTAGGTTGAAGAAAGTAATGTTTTGTGCATCATTTTCAGTAATATGCAAGCCTGAATGCATGAAACTGCACAAAGCTAGAACTGGACATGTCTAATCAGCTACATTTATCATCTGAAATTCTGTGTGAGGGACAAGAGCAGCTGATACAGTGTGCAACACACACACACACACACACACACAAACCCTGCTCTTAGTGACACTTGTTGACTAAACTAAATGTAACGTCACGTCACAATTACTGTGAAGTGTAGGGGCCCTGTCTTTCACTTTCATGCATACGTCTGAATGACAGAGTTATCATAACTTTAACCTATGTTTTCCTTGACAGATGCTGTCACATTAGTAGATTTAGGTTTTGTGTGGCTGAAAAGAACTGAAGATTTGAGTTGGAATATTATTCATTTTAGGTTGGAGAAACTTTCTGGATCACAGAAGAAATCATGGGTTTGACAATATTAGCAGCTGGCACTTCAATTCCTGACTTGATCACCAGTGTGATTGTAGCTCGAAAGGGCCTCGGTGACATGGCTGTGTCCAGCTCAGTGGGCTCCAACATCTTTGACATCACTGTGGGGTGAGTCTGCCAATAAACAAGAACACACAAGCCATTCATTTTTAAATAAGAATGTGCCAAGAAAACCCAATTCTTCTCTGTTGTCTTTTCTATGCCTCTGTCCTCCCTCCAGTCTGCCATTCCCCTGGCTCATTTTCAACATTATCAATGACTTCAAGCCAGTGGAGGTGAGCAGCAATGGCCTGTTCTGCGCCATCGTCCTTCTCTTCCTCATGCTGCTGTTTGTCATCATGTCCATTGCCGCTTGCAAGTGGAGAATGAGCAAGAGTCTGGGCTTTCTTATGTTTTTGCTGTACTTTGTTTTCCTCGTTGTCAGTGTCATGCTGGAGGACAGAATTATTGTCTGCCCCGTTACAGTCTGAGGGAGGGACTCTGGTTAACTGCTGGTCAAACAGCAGAAATTAAGCATAACACCACATATTGACCATTACATAAAACAAACATATACACACTGTCACTCAATATGCACACAGTAGAGGTCTGCATAGCCACTGTCCACACACAGACATACAGGTTTGCACCCACACACACACGCGCGCGCACACACACACCCACACACACACGCACACGGTTGTTGATGTCAGCTAGGCAGAAGCCGTGACATAAATCAATCTTGCAAATTCAGGCTGGTGCATCCGTGGAAAACAGACCTGTGCTTCTTTTATGGATTTCATGCCATCGAATAAGAAGAATTCTCTTTCTCCGACATGACTGCAAGCAGTTTCTGTTGTTGGCTGAAACATGCTGAAAATAATTGATGGTCAGTGAAGAAAAAAGCCAGATTGAAATGTCAGTCAGAAGAAATCTTCAGCTGTTTTTGGTTTGTTGATGAAGATGTCTCAACCCAAGTATGAGACATCATTACTCTTACAAGCAGATATTTAGTATATAAGATCATTATGAGGGTGATGTCCAATACTCCATGTACTTTGCTACATCAGAGAAATGTTATGTGTTTTTAAATACATTTTGACATTTGGGGTCATATTTGGCAGAATTGCTACCCATCCACTGAAATCTATTGTAGCACATATCAAATACTAAATAGTTGCTGTACATGGATAAAACTGGCTAAGGTTGTCAGTACTGCCTAAATATGTATATCCCAACTATCTATAACGAGCTTGTGAACATGACTTCTTCGGTTCTGGCTGCCTTTACATTGCATGACTTTAGTGAAGGGTTGATTCCCAGAGATGCAGTTTGGACAACGAGTGCTGGACTAAAGATTAACAGAGGTTGTTTTATTTTACTTGTTAAACTTCAAGGTTATTTTTCAACTTATATGTTCCTGAAAAAAGAGTGTTCAATATAAGCGATATCACTGCTTTTCATCTGTATTATTTTGATGTAAAACAACTAATGTACTGTAAAAGATAACACAGATTTGTGTTATTTCTGTTAGACTTACAGGTTGTAAGCCATTGTTCAGTTAGTGACATAACACTGAGTAAAAAGCATGGAATTTTACATCCCTAGTAGTAGTAAGAAAACACAGTACAATGTTTCCATTCAAATGTATGCAAATGTTAAAAAATTTTCTTCGGGATTGAATGGAAATGTTTAAGGAGGTTGTAATTTTAAATACTTACAAAAAAATACAATAAAGAAATGTTAAACTGAAGAAAGGCTTTTACTTCTTTGGCATTTTCTCTGATGGTGCGAAATTTTTACTCTATTGTTGTTGTTTCATGAGCAAAATCCAACTGCTGTGGCCCATTTAGTAACATGGGGCCTTGCTAAAAAGGCAAGTTAGTATCCATATTGTCCATCTTGAGCATTTTGCACCACCTGTTGCTACCAACCGCCTGTCCTCATATACAGCATAGACCTCAGATGGCTTAAAATCTCTTCTAACCTGCCCCTAAATACTCAAAATAAATAAATCACAAAAAAAAGTTCTAAAGGAAATATTATTTTCCCCTCGGTTCTCAGGAGAATTTGAAGCAGACTTTAATCTGGGCAATAATTTATCATTCTTGAAGAAATGAAAAATAGTTTATCTGAATTTCAGGAGCATGTCCACACCGCAAACAATGCCCTTTCGGTCATACACCTATAAATGCCTACACATATATTTCTGCATTCCCTTCCATTTTTCTCTAGTCAGCCTCTGCTGATTCTTCCCCAAACCCAAACGTTGTCTCTGGCCTACCTTGTTGCTTCATTTGAATAAACCTTTGTCATTTGGGTTGGGGTCCTTGCTAGTTAAATGAGCTGTAGACCATTATCACCTCCCTCTGCTGTTAATTCTTGGAAGTGCAAACATTAGCAGTTAAAACAAGTAAAAAATAAATAAATAATGGAAACAATATATGCATGTTTGTTAAAATTATTCTTGGATTTTTTTAAATTCTGTATGCTAATATTGAAAAGATGTCATGAAGAATATCAGCTTTATTCAGGTACATATATATATATGCATATATATTTCTGATTTTTCTTTTCATTTTACTTTAACTTTATTCTTATTTTTTTAAATAAGTGTACAGTTTATTTCCATAAAACTCATACCAACTATTCTGAACGTCAAAATGTGTGTTTATTGTGTATTTTTATGTATACTACTTTTTTGTAATCGTTAATTGAGACTAATGTGATTGTAAGCATTTGTATGTCAAAGTCATAACATACAGCAGCTTATAAAACTCAGCACAATGTTCTCAGACTCCAGCTCAGATTTAGCCAGTCTATGCAGTATCACTACTACATTTTTCATGCTTTGATGGATCATAAGAATGTGAGGAATGTATGTGAATGAGTGCATTTAGAAAGATTCATTCTGACCAGTTTCAACAACAATGTTATAATGTTCTACTTGAAACATGTATTATACTGTAAAAACATATATAATTTATCTCTGTATAAAATGTTATATGGTCAAATAAAAAAAAAAAAATCAATGTCGGTGAACTTTTTTAGTTAATATTAAGAAATAGATGCTCCCGAGAGCCTTGTCAGCCTAATTTAACTGCAGTATATTTGCAATTTGTGAATGAAAATCATATGAATTACTCTGAAGATCTTGGAATACCTTGCCTGCTAGATTCTTAACAAAATGTGACATTGACATATTTAAATCACGTAAATAGGGAGGTCAGTTTACCACTCAACCTTCCTCATAACACAGATTAGCAGTGTCATCCATCAGGATGTGGTCTGCTTTACATAGACACAAGCCTCTTACAAAAGCAGGCATGGCCCGCTGCAAAGACCAGTGAGATGCAACCAAGATTAAATGGACAGCTGAGGACAGCAGTAAAGGTTGTTCTTGGGGAATATCTGAGGACATTAGGACTACCTATAAATTTAGGTAGTGAGTAACTCAAGTACCTGTCTGCCAGTTAACAAGCTACAAAATCACCCCAGCCAAATTCCCATATATGTATCAAGTGTCTTTGTCAGTAACTGAGTAAATGTGTGTGCTATTGATTCCTATAAAAGAATGATCATTTTTGGGGTGGAACTGTTTTAGGATTACAGAAGTTGTATACAGATATAAGTATGATGACATTTAAAATCTGCTTGTTAGGGAGTAACTGTATAACTGAACTGAATATAACTAATGTTGAGTGTGGACACACACAAGCTAATGAGTTTTGCCCTGTAAAGATTCAAGGGCATTAGGTCAGTGAAAGTCGTAATAGCATGAGTGGCATTCTGGTGCAGCAATAATGAGTTTACAATCTCACAAAACCAGTATTAAGAAAGATTTATAATGTGAAATACTATATTTAGAAGCCATTAAGGGTGCTAGGGTTTTACTTTTGTGCAGGTTCCTTTTCATATTGGAGATCATTTTTTAAAAAAAAAGAAAAGAAAAAAGAAAGCAAGATTATTTAGGAAAAAGAGTTTTGAATGGTGTGAGATATCATATTAGCCATAATTCCTCTGACTAATACTTCTTGAAATTACAAATAATTTTTAAAAAATTACATTCACATTTCCATGACACTTTCCAGTCAAAATGCTTTACTCTTACATTAGTATGACAGGACTGGTTATATAATTTAATTATAGGCCAATCTCCAACCTTCCTTTCATATCAAAAATCCTTGAAAGAGTAGTTGTCAAACAGCTAACAGATCATCTGCAGAGGAATGGTTTATTT